CCCCAAAACCCCAAAACCCCAAAACCCCAAGTCTCTTCTGAAATACTGAAAGAGTCCTTATTGGCTACTTTAGGCCTAAAATAGCAACCAAAGAAGGACTTTGGCCAAATTAAGGAGATGAAGGAGTTATGATCAATTAAGGTAGCCAACATTCTAGATTAATGCTTCTAAACCCATTCTGGCTAAGGACTTTTCTAGCTTCAGCTAGTTCTACTTCGCAATACTTCAGCGTGATTTGCTGGAGGCTTTGTACCAAATCTGGAGATGTAGACAATCCTTTTATCAAGTTTATAAATTCATGACGGTTGTTTCTCCAGTCACTAAATTCTGTATTTCCAGAATGATTCAAACAAATATGTTGAATCCGTGTGTTCTTCAGTTGATAAGGAAACTCAGGGATTCTAGGAATTGAAAGTTTGCAACAGCGAATCTTCACTTGTCAAATATGACTGAATGAGGTCATCATTCTTTTAAATTGAGGAAGACTTATTTTAAATTTCATGATGTCTATTTCTTCTAGAACTCTTGAACTTACTCTTGTTATACCGAGTAAATGAGGAGAGATATTGAGACCACCATCTTTTATTGAATAAATACCAAAAGTAGAGACTGTCTTTGGAAATGAGGAAGTAAATAAATTTATGATATTCTTATTTCTACCTTCTATACGTCTTAATCTCAAGATTGCCATTTTAACCTGGTAAAAAAATAGCTTTTTCTTAACAAAGTTTATATTTCTTTGCTCATCAACTTCAATATTTAGACCTAATGATGTTGCATTATTTTTTTCATCAGAATCGTATGCCTCATGTCTTTCATAGCTTCGAGAATAATTATATATGTAATTAGCTACTCTCAAATCTTTAGCAATCTTTTGTGTCTTTTTCAAAATCAATTTCTCTTTTCTATATTAAATGTGCTAATCAAGATTCTTTGAAAATAAGTATAACCTCTTGTATTTTATAAATCATGGCATCATCATTACCAGCCAATCTAAGACTTTAGCGATATTTTTAAAAGGAAGGTTGGTAAAAACTGCAAAAATTATAAAAAATAGCAGATTTAAAGAATTCACCACCAATTTTTTATTTTCTTAGTCCTCAATATTTGAGATTTTTAACCAAGAAGATAAGTAATCTCAGATTTTCCAATTCAAATGGACATTTTCTGATAAACTAATGATTAACAAGAAGTCCCACTTCTAAAATAAAGCTGTCAATACATTAACCGAGATCCTGAGAAGGAGTCTGAAGATTATTCGGACTCTGACAAATTTTATTTATGGAAGGGTTAAGCTTGAGAGCATTAATAATTATATTAAGCAGAATCTTTAAAACTTGGTAGCGTAGAAAAACAAGGAAAGACAAAAATAATAGAGTGAGTTCTAACTTTGTAGTAACTTACTTAGCTTTTTGTTCATTCTCTGATGCAATCATTTGGGATGAAGCCTCCATTTTGTTACAACAAATTTTATTTTTACCTATTTTTATAAAGATCCTCGGGGTTTTGGGGTTTTGGGGTTTTGGGG